GACCCTCCTGTCCTTTGTCTCTGGGGATGCAGGAGGAATTCTCTGCCATAGGGTATTTTGGGGGCGGGCTCTGGGCTGGGCCCCTATTCCTTTGTTCCCACGGTCTGAATGGCTCCCTAACACGTTGAGCATGAGCCATGACTTCCTCTCACAGCAGGCACCCTGACACCTGAGGGGAGAGCACTGTCACCCTTTCTTAAGGACAGAGGACCCTTGGGCACAGAGTCAGCAGTTCTCCACAGTGCATGTGCGTGCGCGCACACACACACACGCACACACGCACATAGGCAGAGCTGGTATTTGAACACAAGTCTGGCTCGATCTTGCCCTTCACCTCTGCATGGCACTTCTGCTAAGAGGAAGCTTGTTATTCTTTAAATTTGAAGCTCTCGTTTGAGTAACAACCATAACAAAAATCCAAGATTATTTTCTAATGTCTCTCATATAAATACTTGTATTTGCAAATATTCCACAAAAGATTTCTGCAAAAATAGCTCTGCCTTTGTATTTTCACAAATGAAGAATTCTGGTGACAATGATAAAGCAATCACAGTAAGTATGTGCTGTCATATTTTTTGGCAGTGTTGTAAGTTAAGATGAATCTGTCTCAGCCTTGAGTTATTATTATTATTGCCACTGTTTATTGCTACATTAATCACCACACATACTGTGAGGGATTGATGAAGTTAATTGCTTTTATAAACTAAATTCAATGAAGTGCCAATTCAGAGTGACCAACCCTTGACATGTGTACCTACAGCAGAGGAGGCCCTTCCACATGAGTGTCAGATGACGATGTCACCTTGACACATGTCACCTTGATAGCCATCATCAGTTTTCTTTATAGTTAGCTGCACAGCCCTTTTTTCTTTTAGTTTATAGAAAACATCTGTGATTTTTAGTTGTAGTTTTATATCTGCCAAGTTGAAACGATTCAGATATCATTTTTAAATATGCATCTGTATTAGTTTGCTCAGGCTGCTATAACGAAATACTACAGGCTGGGTGACTTGAACAATAGAAATTTATTTTCTCATAGTTCTGGAAGCTAGAGGTCCAAGGTCAGAGTGCTGACTGGTCTGGTTTCTCCCGAGGTCTCTCGCCTTGGCTTCTCATCGTGTCCTTATGTGGCCTTTCCTCTGTGCACGTGCATCCTGGTGTCTCTTCGTCTTCTCACAAGGACATCAGTCCATTGGATCAGGGCTCCAACTTAACAGCCTAATTTTAAGCTAATCACCTCGTTAAAGGCCCATCTCCATCTATAGTCACATTCCGAGGTACTGGGTGTTAGGGCTTCAACACGTGAATTTGGAGGGACCACAATTCAGCCTATAGCAGCACTTTCAATCAATTTCTAATGGGAATAGGATGGGGGTGGGATATATGGGGGAGGAGAATGAATTTAAAAAAACATTTTGTGGGACAACTCTTGCAGCTTCCTCCTTTGGCGAAAAACATTCATAACACTCCAATAGAGTGGGAAATAACCTTAAATGTACTACAGATTTTTATTTTCAGTCTCCATCTCTTACGATTTGGCACACTGCGTAACCTGGGAAATCTTGATAAGCCACCTGCAAATGGTGTTTTTTGTTTTCTTCCCTTTTATTTTTTAATCTGAGCCCAAAGTGAGGGAAATCCCTAGGAATCACACCCAGAGAAGAAACTGAAATTCAGAACAGTTAGTATGAGCCTTGGGCCTCCAGGAGGCAGGAAGGGACCCGGTGTCTCTTTCTCTCACAAGGACACCAGTCAGACTGGATGAGAGTCCACCATAACAGCCCCGTTTAGACCAAGACTCCAGCAGAAAGTGGGTGCTCAGCAGCCAGGCCCATGGAAGAGGGGCGTGGGAGAGAAATGCAGCCAGTAGGGTGTCGGGAAAGCTGGTCTGTTGCAGCCTGGGCTCCGGATGGAGAAAAAAAGTGTTCTTGAAAATCTGTGAACGCAGCCTGCCCTCACACGGGCCAAGGGTTCAAGTTTACACAGTTTGGCAATTTCTAAGGAATCTGACGTAAAAGAAGTTTCCAGATACCCGTTCTCCTGGTCTGATAGAAGAACGTATAACACCCCTCCAAAGGGATCTGGCCCCATAGGGTCCCCATAGATAAAGCCCTGCTGAAGACAAGCTCATAATCCCCAATCACCGCACTAAAAGTGAGAGTCAGTGGAGAAAAACAGTGGCTTAAACTCTCAAGGATGTCAGATAATAAAATAATTGGGTATACAAGTATGTCAAACGATTAAATATATAAAAAAAAATTAAAAACACAAGAAACAAATAAGACCCTGCTTTGCCTTTTGCTGATAGAATGCTGCTAGGTGCCCTTGGCCACGAAACGTGCATCAGCAGCTTCCCCAAGCGAGGGGCTGGCAAACTCTCCTGGGGAAACTGAAACCGCATAAACTGGAAGTGTGTGAGCCCGAGGGGGTTTCACGTTCTCCTTTCTGTTCGTCAGCATCATCAAGAAACTTGGCCTGGGCTTCCGTGATTCAGCAGGGGCCCACCGAATTTGAAAGGCCAGAGAGCGTGGCCTGATAAGTCGCCTGTGCGGGGTGATAGGAGCTACCCTGTGGCAGAGCCCTGGGTGCAACTGTCCTGAGGAGGGAGGATGACCGTGGTGAGCCTGTGGCCGGTGCGTGGAGTAGACGCGGCCTTGCTTTCTGTCAGGAACTCACCCGTGCCGGGAGCTACCAAATGCCTCTGTCTCTGCCCATTCGGGCTACCATACCAGAATGCCGCGGACTGGGGGCTTGTAAACATCAGAAATGTATCTCACAGCTCTTCAGGCTAGAAGTCCAAGATCAAGGCGCCAGCACATTCCAGGTCTGGGGAGGGCTCCCTCCCGGCCCATAGACTGCCGTCTTCTCTGTCCTCCCACGGTAGAAAGGGCATGACAGCTCTCTGGTGCCTGCATGGAAGGGCTCTAATCCCATTCCTGAGGGCTCCACCCTCATGACCTGATCACCTCCCAAAGGTGCCACCCTAAGCACCATCACATTGGGGATTAGGCTTCAACAGCCTCTCTCATTTCAGCTTCTCCATGTTAGGGTGCCGCTCCTATCCCCTTCCTGTAGAGGAGGCCGTGAGACCTCAAAAGGCAGAGTCTGAGACCATATGGCCGAGGACACGGAGGAGCTTGCCAGCCACAAAGCACATCAGCTTTTTGGGAATAGGGCCAGCATTTCCAGACTCTATTCCATGGAACGCTATAGTCCTAAAGGATGATAACCCCCATTACCGCAAAAGGAAACTGTCCTGTGGCCAGACACAGCTGGGGGAGATGGCATGCTCTGTGCCCTCACTAACACGTGAGAACCTATCTGAGGAACTCCGTTTCATTTGTTTAATCTAGCACTTCCCATGCTTAGTAGATCCTAGAACCCACGTCGTTTTGTTTTTTTTTCCTTGCAAAACAGCATTAACATATGAGCCATTAAGGGAATAGAAATAAAATTACAATGAGATTCCCCCCACGCCCACTAGGATGGCTGTAATGAAGATGATAGATGATGGCGAGTGTCGGTGAGCCTGTGGAGAAACTGAACGCTCGGACCAGTCGGAATGGAAATGCTAAAAGCCATTAGCATTTCCTCGGAGGGGTAAATTCAGTAGCTTTGTGACCCAGCTCTTCCAATCCTAGGTTATACCCAGGGAAGTGGAGGTGACGGTCCATGTGTCCACACAGAGGCTGGTACACAAGTCGTTCATGGCTACGTTATTCATCATACCAAAGTGCGAAAACAGTGCAAATGTCCGTCGACAGACGAATGGATACATTAAATGTGGTCTATCCATGCGATGGAATATTATTCAGACATAAAAAGGAACGAAGTACTGGACAATGCTACAACATGGATAAACCTTGAAAACATCGTGCTAAGTGAAAGAAGCCAGTCCCCTAAGGCCACATATTTCATGAATCCATTTATGTCAAATGTCCAGAATAGGCATAACCAGATAACTGGTTGCTCGGAGTTGGGGAGAGGAGGGGTCAGAAGTGACTATTCGTTGGGGTTTCTGTTTGGGGTGATGAAAATGTTCTCAAGTTGACTGTGGCAGGGGTTGTACAACTAAATATATTCAAAATCACTGAATCGTACACTCTAATCGAGTGAAATGCATGTGAATTATAAGTCAGAAAAACAGGGCTGTTTTATAAAACTAAATTAGCATCTGCCAATACTAAAGTTTCATAACACAGTTTGGGAAAGGCTACTATAGAAGTCTTGGCTGCCACGTGAGTGGCCTCTGTGACTGTTAGCACAGTGACTGTCCCATGTCACCATGTGGCTGTATCGCCCCATCAGAAGCATCATTGGAGACAAATACCATATGATTTCACTTAAATGTGGAATCTGAAAAACAAACCAACAAATAAAATGAAACAAACAAACCCATACCTACAGGGAATAAACTGATGATCTCCAGAGGGGAGGGGAGAGAAGGGTGGGCAGAAACGGGAAAGGGGATTAAGAAACAAAATTCCAGTTATAAAATAAGTCATGGGGATGTAAATACAGCATAGAGAATATAGTCAATAATATTGTAATACTATGTACAGTGAACAAATGGTTACTACACTTATCGTAGTGATCGCTTTGTGTAAAGCATATAAATGTCGTACACCGGAAACTAATATAACATATAGTCAATAATATTGTAATACTATGTACAGTGACAAATGGTTACTACACTTATCGTAGTGATCACTTTGTGTAAAGCATATAAATGTTGTACACCGGAAACTAATATAATATTGCTTGTCAACTGTGATTTAAAAATAATAATGCAGGACAATTTGAAATTTAAAGAAAAAGCATTGCGAGGATTCCCTGGGACTTGGCTGCATCAAGCTGTGCAGAACCTAAAGCAAGCAGCCACTGTCCCCACGTGGTTTATACTCTGGTGACACTTCCGCTCTTGTGAAATACTTATAAGGAGACCAAAGAAATAAACAAGAGCCTGGGGAGTTTCTAAATGGATCTGGAGCAACAGATAGCTTTGGATCTTCCCCCCAACAATACTAACTTCTGTAGTCAATCATGGCTGCTGCCAGGTGGTCTGGACTAACTCATGGCCATGGGGCAACCACAGACTTTCTGGCTGGCTCTCCTGGTCCTCCCGTGGTTCCCTTTTCACGCTGATCACACCCCGCTTTGTTTTCATTCTAGTGAAAGCCGGTGGAATGCGAATTGTGCAGAAACACCCACATTCTGCAGACACCAAAGAAGAGAGAGACAAGGATGACCAAGAATGGGAGAGCCCCAGGTGGGAGAGTTCACATTTCACAGATAACCTTATTCAGTTAAACATTAACGTTTGTTCTCTGCTCTGCGCTTCTGATAAAGCCTGCTGTGTATTTTTCCTTTCCTAAGCGGTGACGTGGTGATTCTGTTCCCAGACAGGGAGGAATGGGGTGTCTGGAGCCCGCCCCCTTTCCTGACTCAATCTGAGTATGCTGTCAGTCCGGGGCGGTAGCCTGGAGACCTTAGGAAATGCCATAGTAGCTGAATGTGTGGGGCAGGCCTGGCGTTGGTGCGGCCAGGCTAGAGAGCTCCTGGTTTTGAAGGTGGCCACAAGCACCCAGGTGCTCCTAGTCCTTCGGCCACACCAACGGCCAGCACGGCCTCGCCTGGGCGTCCTTAAACGGCATCTCTGCCCAGCCCCCTGGGGCCCGGAAGGCTCATCACCCTGCACTCCCCCCTCGCCGTTTATTACTCGTTTTCCTCTGAGGTTCTGATGTCAAGTTTGGTTCAAGGACTTCAATACGAATTCACTTCCATGCACCTTGTAATACGCAAGCACGCACCACACATGCATACGCCTCCCTCTGAACTTGCCCTGTAGAAGAACGTGAGCACTAAGCCTGCTACCTTACAACTTGTCCCCAGAGATGTCTCTGCCAGAGGAGGAGAGGAAGTGTGGAACGGGCGTGGGCAACAGCTAACCGGTGTTTTGGGGCCCAGCACAGCATCTCACTTCAGTCCCGTCGTCCTGGGTAATAGGTGGTGTTCTCCCGACTTTACACACTGGAGACGCGGGTCCACAGGGACTATACACCGGCCCATGTTGTGCGCCCTGCAGACTAATGGGACAGGAATCGAAGCCCCAGTCCCATGGGTCCAGAGCAGGCTGGGCTTCCAACGAGGTAGCTCCCACCATGAGCTTCTGCCCTTGAAAAAGGACGTACACGTTTTTGGTGGCTCCCGTGTCTGCTTAAGCGTGCGCTGCACCATTCGGTATGAGTTACTGCGCCATCACTTGAGGCGCAGACAAAATTTGGGGCAAAGTTTCTGAGTGATTATTTCCCATTTTAGGTCATGAGGTCAGCAACACGAAGGTTCGGCCCAAGCTCTGGTTTTAAAAGAAGCCAGCTTAACCAAAACTCTAGCATAATCTTTTTCTCCGACTATTGTCACAAAGCCGTGTTTGGATCGGTAACTCCTAGAGGTCCGCAATCCTGTATCTGAAAAGCCCGGGCCTGATTTATTTCAGAATTAAGACATTTAGGGGCTTTAGGAGATTGACGTGGATTTTAGGAGAATGGAACAGCGCGTTCCATCCGGCACCTGCAGAGGGGTCTCAGGCAGCACGTTGTCATCTGCACTTGACGTTTACGCCAAGGGAGACACATTTTCCAAACTTACAGACTTGGGCCAGTTCAGGTCAAGTTTTGCCTCCATACAAATTATAAGGGAACTTTGAGCTTGCAGAAAATTCTCGAATGCAGAATGGAGGGTGAGAGCGTGTGGGCCCGTCGTCATTTCTCCACTAGGAAACTTGGGGTGTCCTTTTTTCATATTCAGTCATTTCCTCAAGAAGGAAGAAAAAGGAGGAGAGAGAAAGCCTTTCCAAGAAAAAAAGATCCTTGGAAGTTAATGAAACATGCTCTTCTGTATGAGTTTAAGTGGAATAAGGTACAAACAGCTATTTCTTGCATAGCTGTCAATACGGTGAGAGGATAATTTACTAGCATGTTTACAGATGAGGACAGAACAGCCCGTTGGTTTTCTTTGTATTGATTTTTTTCATGAAGCGAAATACAGCATTTATCAAAGATATGCCATTTAAATAAATATGCCAGAGGATGAATGATTGCAGGAGGAAGGAGCGAGCACCCAGCACTCTAGAGTTTAGCATCTTACCATAAAGTTTGTTCTCCATGGAACCAAGTATTGCGAAGCGGGCTGACTGCAGAGTAGGGCTTGCATGCTGGATGAGCGAGAGTATTTTGGTTCCTTGTAGCCAACTTGCAATAATATGTTCCTTAAGGGTGTGTTAGCCTGTCCCCCTGACTTTGGCTTCTCTCTTGACCACTGTGGGTTAAACCGCTTGACACACCATGGACAGATGGGGTCAGCCTCTGTGGACTCTTAATCTGTTGACATATTGCCAGTACAACTCCTTTCGAACACCTGCCCCAGGCCCGGCACTCTGCATAATAGTTTACCTGCGCCACCAGGCACTCCCTGTCTTCCTGGTGGGCTGAGTGAATAAGTCTAGTTAATCTTCATCACGACTGTTTTCAGAGTGCTGTGGCACTAGCCTTGTTCCAGGTGCTCTGCGTAATTAATTCATTTGATGCTCGCAGATACTCTGCTGTCATCTCCATTTCAGAGTTGGTTAGTGATTGTTATCCCTGTCCCAGATGACTACGCCCACTGCAGCGGCTCAGAGAGGTTAAGTGACTTTTCCAAATGCACACAGTGGCTGAGTGGCAAAGCCAGCATCCCAGCGCTGGCAGCTGGGTCCAGAGTCCTCGCTCTGTGCTTGCCCACTGAGCGCCTGTTTTGTGCTGGGCACCACAAAGTGCTTCACGTGGGGTTCAAAGGTCACAGCGCCAGTCTGCTGGGGTGAATGTGTCAACACAGTAACCTACGTTTCGACACCTATCAAGAAACCAAGGCTTAGGGAGCTTACCCAGCCAACGACATACAGCCGGTCAGCAGCCAGGCCGGAGTTCAGCCTTGAGTCTGTCTTCACTGGGAAGCCATGCCTCTCATGTGCTACAGAAGCCCCCTGAATTGATGGAATATTTTTAGGATCGACAGGGACTGGTTCTAGGGTTGCCCATAACCTTTTCCATATTCCTCAAGCCCATAATTCCCGCCGTGCATCCTCACCATCAGTAAATGGTCTAATTATGAGTTTACAGCAAGGTTTCAGGCGACTGGAATTACTCTAAATATGGAAAGACCTATTTATTTGCAGAATTTATCAACGTTTAATTATTTTCTTGGAAATGTTATGGCATGTGACTTCACCATCCACATTACCCTAATCCTAAAAGTTTATATTTTCGTCCTTGTGTCCAAGAGTCCTGGATATGAAAACACGAGCGTAGTCTCAGATCCCAGTCTCCTTCTGAGATCTGCGTTTGCAAAACCCTCTGCTTTCCTTCCCAGGGTTTCTAAACTGGCTTCACGTTTACCGATTCATGTGTGCTGGCTTCCTTCCTCATTAATCTGATAATCAAATATCGATTATAGAGAAAATGAACAACTGGAGCATTGAGGAGGTTATTATGTGACCAAAAAAAATGAAAGCCACAACTTTTACTTGTAATTATTTTTCTTGCAAATATTTATGCTACTCTTAATCCCTTTAATCTTACAATTTTCGAGATTAACAAATAATTTCCTATGCTACCAAACTGTTTTGAGTTGCTACATTTTTTAAAAAGGGGGTCGAGGGAGAAGGTAACAAATTTGAAAATGCTGCCCAAGAGGTCCCGTCAAGCTAAGTTCTAGTTACCTGCTGCTCTTCACATCCTAGGACAGAAATAGGCTCCATTAATGTTAACTACTACTTTCCTGAGTGGCTGCTGGATTCTTTCTCCAAACTGACTCAATCAAGGAAAGCCATGATTTCCCCCAAAGCCTTTTGTTGGGCAAGTTGAGATGTACAAGTTTCATTATATAAAGGAGAAATTGTAGACATAGAATGGACTTAGGATTCAGTAGGATCCACTGGAGAATACAGTTTAGCGTCAGACATGTACTGAGGTCCTACCACGAATCGGGCTTGGTGCAGGATATCAATAAGGATAGGTGACGGGAAGAACAAACTGAAATGGAAGGGTTTGGGTGTGGACTGGGGTGGGCAGGAAGGGGCTGGAATGAAGGGTAAATGGGGCTGAGCAGAATTAATGTGGAAGGTGCAGCTCTTCTCTGAGCTCGGCTCTTCTTGCAGCTCTGATTGGGACTGTGGTCCTGTTTCATTTACCCCAAAAACAAGCTCACGATTCAAACCACCCAGAATGTGGGAGAGACTCAAAATGGAATACGAACAGTAACAGATGAATCTAATTTATACAAATGGCTCATGTAACCAATCAAAAGGAGTGGGAAGAAAAGACCTAACCTACGTAACTTTGGAAAACAATATTCTGACTAGATACTATAAGGCTGAAGACAAAACAACCATTAGTGAAAGCCATAATCCAGTAAATGTGTTTCTTGCAGGAGCGGGTTAGCGATTCTGAAATTGCTTTATGTGTATAATAAAATTGAACAAATAAGTAAATACGTCATCGGTAGTGGGAGCCAAGTTTCTCACTGTCTAAGAAAGAGGTTAAAATTAGGAAAGAGAAGACTAAAATGAACTTTGTGGTAAAGAATCTGAATTGGGGGCATTAGAGAGTGAACTCGTAGTTTTAAATGGATGGATGAGTGGATGGATGGATGGATGCACAGTAGAGACATTCGGACATATACATACATACAGAGCTATAGATGGGGGAGGGTTATGGTTAGTGTGTAAACCTATATTCCCTAGCTGTGTTCACTGAACAGGCCTAAAAGAACTGACACCCCTGTAACGGTGAGCATCCCGAGGGCCCAGATCTTAGCCTCTAAACACCATTCCCCAGTCAAGGGAGCCGGGGTTGTGATTAATTCCAGGGCCAGGGCAGAAAAAATACTAGATGAACCTGGGACAACTTGTAATTCCAAACATGAGGAAGCGCACCATACAGAATGGGGGCTTGTCAGAACGACACAGACACCAACCTCACACCAACCTCAGGGAGCCCCTAAGGCCGAAGCTGGCATGATTTGCAAAATAAATAATGACAGGATTGGATTAGACTCAGAGTGAAATAAACATCCATGATATAAATAACTGAATACATAAATGAGGAGAAGGGACATCTCTTTATAGAAGAATTTCAGTTAATAAGTATATAAGTTTTTTTTAGAATTTCACCAAAAGCCAAATGGCACAGTAATGGTTGTGGACAAGACCCACCGATGGATGCTATGATCAGTGAGTGAAAGTTTAAGGAGAAACGGAATATTTGCATAGTCTCAAAGTATCTCTCCTGATATATTTATTAGTTAAACAACAAAGAGTGTGTTTACAGTGGACACCGTGAAAAGGACGCTTGTTCATAGTATAAAAGCTAAAATAAGGCAGAGAGTGTCATTTTGTCCGGCTCGTAAGGGAACCTGCGTGTCGGTGGCTGTAATGTTCTGCTGCTCTGTGCACGTCTGAGAATGACCGTGACGGGGCTGCGGGTATTGCTCCTCATCAGACTTTCGCCTGCTGCTTTTAGCATCCACTGATAACTCTTGCCTGAAATGGGTATTGTTTAGTGGATGCTGTATTATTATAGGGCCGCCGGAATCAGTATCGCACACAGGGTGGGAGCCGGGGTGCTGAAAATAACTGAAATGTGTTGTCTCACAGTTCTAGAGGCTGGAAGTCCAAGGTCAAGGTGTCACCAGGGTTGATTTCCGGTGGTTTGCCGACAGCCTTTGGCGTTCCTTGGCTTGTACACACATCACTGCCAGCTCTGTCTCCCTGTGTCCTTGACGTCATCTTCCCTCGGTGTATATCTCTCTGTGTCCAAATTTCCCCTTTTTAAGGATGTCAGTCACTGAATTAGGGCCCACCCTGATAACTTTATTTTAACTCGATTACGTCTGTGAAGACTTTATTTTCAAAAAAAGGTCAGGTTCTAGGTAGTAGGGCTAGAATTTCACTTGTCTTTTTTAAAGAAAACAATTCCGTTCCTACCAGATGCCAAATAGCAATCTATGACCATTTTCAATGGTTCTCTCAATAAAAGTTAATACTTCAGATAAGAAATAGAAAATTAAAATTCATAAATTAAGAGATGACATAGAGCATTTTTATTTAAGCCATTATCTGCATATTTGAACTTTATTTAAAGCATGCAACGAACCAATTTCAACATCATCTTTACTTCCCAGGATCATCTTTTGTATACAGGCTGGTTTTCAGCTGCCTTTTAAAAGGGATGTATCCTTTTCACCATGATGTATGTTGATGCCAGTGGACTAGGGATGCTGAGTGCCACCAGCTGCCAACTCCCGTGCTGTCTTGGGTGCCCTGTGTCGGCAGACAGAGTAACAACAGCTGACTTGGGTGCTGGAGTTCAGTGGGCCACAGACCCCCATCCTGAGCCCAAAGCAGAGGCTCAGTAGGCAGAGGTGTCGAGTGACATGAAATATCTTTGTCAAGGGGATAACTGGTTGTCACTTGCTTATGGTCTAAGATGCCTCCTCCAGGACACTCATCCTGAAGGCACAGCAAGATTCTCAGAACAGCCTTTGGGGCGCGATTTCCTGGCAGCATAGAGTAGCGTGAACAGCCCTGGCCACTGGCGAGAAGACGGGAGGACTAGTCACTGTGCAGCAGCTCTCACAGCCGGGCTTGCCAACGCGAGACTCATGCATCAGTGCTCTAAGTCCGCAGGCAACGCAGGGCAGTGATGAAGCTTTGCAGCTTGTATGCCAGCAAGGGAGTGGTGAAAGTAATCATTTTGCCCGTGGCACCTTGGGCAGCAGAAAGATGGCAGAGCTCGTGCAGGCCTCTACATCCCATGTGGCCGCCTGAGTGAGCTGGGAGCGTGTAAGATGGCCTCGGGAGCGGCCGTCCATGGACGGCGAGTGTCTGTCTGCACTCGGGGCCTGCAATCCATCCTAATGGCAGCACTCCACTCTCCGTGGCCCCGCAAAGCTCAGATAACCCATACGCGTTCCCCCAGGTGACTGTGGGTAGAACTTCCTCTGGGACTGGCTTCCTCCCTTCGAGAAGCAGTGTATCGGTTTCCTGGGGCTGCCATGACAAAGGACCACAAACTAGGCAGTTTAAACAATAGAAATGTATCCTCTCACAGTCCTGGAGGCCAGAAGTTCAAGATCAAGGGGTCAGCAGGGCTGCGCTCCCTCTGAAGCCCGCGGGAAGGCTCTGTCCCGCGGGCCCCTCCTGCAGCTCCGGTCGTCCCTTGACCGGTGGCAGCATGACTAATCTTCACGTGGCATTCTCCCTGTGTGCGTATCTATGTCTGGTTTCCCCTTCCATAAGGACACCAGTCACATGGGATTGAGGGCTCGCCCTGCTCCATTGTGACCTCATCTTAAATAATGGCACCGCAACAACTCCGTTTCCAAACAAGACCACATTCTGAAGGATGGGGGTGGGGCTTTAACATAAGAAGGTGGGGAACTGGGGGGCAAGGGGACACGCTTGACCCAGGACAAGCAGGCAGCATCGTGCCGCTAGGCAGTTTCCGGCAGAGCCAGGCTCCGCTGACATGTCAGCAGCTTTGGCAGCACGCCGATTTATTAACCGCGAGGCTCTGCGTGGCAGACGACGCCGACCTCTGTGCCAGTACGTGCCGTTGCCTGGGCTGAGCACTGCAGTCTGCCCTCCTGACTGGCGGATGCTCTGGACCAGGGGCGTGGCCCGGACTTCGATCACACACTCCATCAAGTTAAAACCTGTTTTGTGCCTCCACCCCCAATATATGTGGATTCATTTTTAAATTATACATGTGTACTGTTCTATCATTATAGAATGATAAAGTATATACAAAATGGACGTTAATGTATTATACAAAGGTGCGATAAGCAGTATTTTCAATGTCTTACTAATCATTGTGACTTTATATTGTCATTAACTAATATTTCAATGTCCAAGTAAATATCCTTGAGATAAGGGTTCTCATTAATGACTCGGGATGTAAATCTAAATTTCTAATGGCCTTCTTGGTGAGTTTGCGGTGGAGGGCAACTTCTTGTCAAATCTGATTAGATTGGTTTGGTCATGTGGCTCACAAAGTACTTAAACCAGAAGCATAAGCCTTTCTCTTTTATTATTGTTTACTAGTGCTTGTACTGGTTTTAACCTCAGCCTCCAGAGGCTTTTTTTTTTTTTTTTGCCGGGGGGAGGGGCAGGAATCTTCTGAAGCTACCTGTTTATTTTGTAAAACTTAGTTTAAATTCATTTGTAATACATTTGAGCACCGTCCTAGGTGCTTGGGACACATCAAAGATAAAACTAGAGAATTTAATTCATTACCCCTTTACCCAGACAGCGTAGTATGGATGTTGCAAGACACTGGAAGCAATCGAAGGGGCACAGGGGCCTGTAGGTGGTGACCCACCTCTTTCCTCTAGAATCCTAAGGACCATGGGGCCAGGAGACAGAGTGACAGTCAGCCTGCAGACATAGCAAATAGTGGTAAAATCGAATTCATTTTGTTTTGTTTTGTTAGAGAAAAAATAAATGTAAATAAAATAGATTGGCATGTTCATCTCATTTTCCCTCCTAAGCACAAAGAACTGCTTTTGTCATTGATTGCTTAGTGGTGGCTCCAATACCAGTTTTCCTGTTCTGTGTAGTATAAATTAAGCCTTTCCTCCCAAACCTGTGGCTATGTGTATGTTAGGTTGACCCCTGGGAATGCAGCAATGTGCATTTTGAGAAGTTTTGCCTAGAACTGCTCAGTAGACACGGTGTGATGTGTGTGACCCGAACACTTTGTGTTCTAGAAGTCACGGGCATGAGCATTGTCCGGAGCTCAGTCTCTGAGTTCTCGTCACGTAGGTGGGCACTGGAGGTCGGCGCAAGTCTGACAGGTAGCAAACCGAAGGCTCGCCGCGCCACAGAGGCAGGGAGCGTGTGGGCATCGTCCGTTTGTCACAGGAGCCGAGCTGGACTCCTTCAGTTTGGGGGCGAGAGGAAAGGGCTGATGGCCCAGCTTCCCCCAGTGCCTGGGCGGCTGGTACGTGGCTTGGAGGCGCTGTCCACACAACGTCCAGTTCCAGAATGGACGCGGGAACCGGGCGTGATGGATTAGCTTCTGAGCACCCCGTTCCTGCTCCCCGTCCCTCCTCCAGCCTCCAGCCTCCATGCAAGACCGTCAGGCCCCGCTCCACACTGGACGAGCTCCTTTTATCAGGTGGAAGAGGGGAGAAGGCAACGGAGCCATCAGCCTCCGGAACGGGTGGCTCGTGTTTCTCTGGTGTTACTCGAAGGGTTGCACTATTTATCAGTAGTATCTTCTTATTACATAAACGTGTGAACCGAATTTAAATCACCTCTCCAGAGGTTAGATTTTATAGAATGAAATGTGTAATAATAACTTCACATATGAATAATGACATAGAAACAAGAGCCCTTTCTGAGTTTATTACATTACAATTACCATGCCTGTAATTTTTAAACCCTATGTTTAAATAAATTCCATTGACTTCAACTGTCCCAGAATGCAGAGCACTCAGAAAATACAGTACTAGCCCTCCCTTACCCCCAGGGGGATGTTCTCAGATCCCCCAGGGCATGCCTAAAACCGCAGAGAATACCAAACCTTCTATGTTCTGCTTTTTTTCTATATATACAGACTTATTATAAATTTTAATTTACAGGTTTGGTACAGTAAGAGATTAACATCAATAATAATAAAATAGAACAACTGTAACAACATATTGTAATAAAAGTTACGTGAATGGCCTTGAAGCCATTATTAAGTAAAACAAGGGCTACTTGTACACAAGCACGTGTGACCTCGGCAGTCACTCTGACACCTGGCCAGCTACTAAGAGACTACCAGGCTGGTGGCAAACACAGCATACAGCGTGAAGACACTGGGCAAAGGGATGATTCACACCCCTGGGGGAAGCAGAGTGGGATGAGTGTGAGATTTCATCGTGCTTCTCAGAACACTATGTAATTTAGAACTTACGAATTGTTTACTTCTTGAAATTTCCGTGTAATATTTTCTGACCACAGTAACTGAAACCATGGCAAGTGGAACCTTGGGTAAGGGGGACTGCTGTACTCAGTGAATCAGTAATATTTAGCTTAGACTTTAATTCTTTAAAGGTAAAATACTTAATTAACTTAATTACTTGATTACTTCTTATTTTAAATTAGGTAGGATCGGCGTTGAGGAATAAAATTCTTTATTCCTGTGAGCGTGTTCTGCTGGGCCCTCAACCCCCTCTAGGTGGGGTATTGACTGTGTGTCTTGGTTGTGTGCATCCTCTAAGGCAGGGCTGTCGTCGTTAATATGGAATGGAGACCAGAGTCACGAGGGTAGTGTCGTATCGAGAAATTCTCATGGAGTCATCAGATTTAGAGCCGGACTCGACCTAAGAGGTCACCTAATCCAGGTGCTCCCAGGTGGAGTGCTCGGGAAGTGGAATGTCAGATTTTAATAAAATCTAGAAGAGTCTAGATGCCAGAAACACCTATTGGATAGAGATCCATAAAGTTTTTTATGTTTAAAAGAAGTCTTTGCCCACTTCTGGGTATATCTCCAACAGAATTGAAAGAGAAGTCTCAAAGAGATATTTGCACACCCATGTTCACATTCGCAATATCCAAGAGGTAGAAACAACCCAAATGCTCATCAACAGATGAATGGATAAACAAACACGGTATGTCCATACAATGGAATACTATGCAGCCTTAAAAAGGAAAATCCTGTCACATGCTGCAGCATGGATGCTAATGGAATAAGCCAGTCGCAAAAGAGCAAAACTGTGCGGTTCTACTTACGTGAAGTATCTAAAGTAGTCGAGTTCATAGAGACAGGAAGTACAGTGGTGGCTGCCAGGGGCGGGAGGGGTGCAGACGGGAGCTGTTGCAAATAGCCACAGAGTTTCAGTTCCGTGATAGGAAAAGGCTCTAGAGACCTGTTTCACGGCAGCATAAATACACATAACACTGCCGAGCTGCGCACTTAAAAATGGTCCAGGTGGAAACTTTTATGATACATGTTTTTTACTACCAAAAAGGTTTTTTTTTGATAAAGCAAACAAAAAAAGACTTCACTGCTGTGAAAGAGGTTCGGCGGTTTCTCAGAAAGTTCAACATGGCATTGCCACATGACCCAGCAGTTCTACCCGCAGTATGTACCCACGTGAGTTGAAAGCAGGTGTTCAAACAAACACTTGTGCGTGAATGTCCCTGCATCATCACTCACACTAGCCAAAAAGGGGAAGCAACTCAAGTGTCCACCAAATGCTGAATTATAAACAAAACATCCATGCAGTGGAATAATCAGCCATCAAGAATGAAGTGCCGACACCTGTTACAACACGGGGTCGAAAGCATCATGCGCAATGAAAGAAGCCAGACGCAAAAGGCCACGTGTTACACGATTCCATTTATTTGAAATGTTCAGAATAATCAAATTCAAAGAGATGAAAAGCAGATGCCTGGTTGCCAGGGGCTGGGGAGGGGAGTGACTGCTAAGACTTTCTCCTGGGGATGATGAAAATGTTTGGAAATTAGATCGTGGTGCAACACACTATTAAAAGAGCCTCTGAATTGTACTTTAACTGGTTCACATGGTGAATGATACGATACGTGAATGTTACCTCAGTTAAAGAAAGGGGTCTCGTGAATGAGAGCTTGGGGACCACGGCTGTCATCCAAGCCCACGTTTTCTGAGCCAGGAAAGAGGAAGTGCGCTCCGGCGCACTCCGGCAAAGTGACTCCCTGGAGGGCCATGGCTGCCACACTCGGGACGCCAGGACACTCAGGCGAAGGTGGGGAGAGGGGGTTCCTCAGAGGCTTCCCGCTGCCAACAGCAACAAACCTCAGCTCAAACCGCACAAGGCAGCAAGGACACATGCTGTCTCCTGTGAAGAAGGGGCAGGGTTGGCTCTGGGCAAGGCGGGTCCCTCGGGCACATCCAGGGCCACCTGTCCGCACCACTGGTAGCTCCACCTTCCTCCACGGGCGGGCAGGCGGTCAGGTCCGGACACGTGGTGTCCGGAGGAAGGACGGAGCATCTCTTCTGGAGTCTCTTGTCAGGAGCGAGAAAAGTTTTGCCAGAGGCCCTCTAGCAGACTCATCGCCCAGAACTGGGTCACGTGACTCCCTAACTCAGACATTGCGGGTCACCAGGATAACCAGCGTTTCTGCTCCACCGTTGGCTCGAGGTCGCTAGAAAGATGCGTTTTCTGCTAAGGGGAAGCCAGAGCAGGATCCGTGTGGAAATATCTCTCCAAGATTTACGGTCAGGCCTGAGGCTAAGGATTTGGGGGGGGTTGGTGCGCTGGTCCGAAGGCGGGGGACTGCGGCCTCGCTGGTGTTTTACAAAGCGGAGCTTTGCGGTGGCCTGCGGGGCACCAGAGAGAAGGGTCTGTCCGGGATCTTCCAAGGATTCTTCCAAAAAGTTGAACTGCCACCACTAACCGTTTATTCTGGGTAACTTCCGTATTTCTATAAGTCAGGACCAAAGATTTCAAGTGGGAGAATAAAGATTCTAAATGGCATCTGTTAAGTGTCCCTTTGCAGCACGTTTTCCCAGTGTCGTGATAACGAAATTTGAGCATCTTGGGCCAGTCCGACCGAATGTAGAGAAGTAATTGCTGTTTACTCTTTTGGGGGCGTCGTGGGAGGTGGGAAATGAAGGCAAGGAAAGCTAAGATGATAGAGTAGAAATATGCAAGCTCTAATACATGTGGGCATGTATTTCGAAGATGGCAGTTGAGTATACAGCCTAAGTTTGATTATAAGAGGACTAATTAGTTTCATTTATCGATCGACATTCCTGCCTATGGCATAGCTTGACCTCTGCAGCTAAGATTTCCTTCTGCTACACATGGATTCGATGGAGAGCGGGCAGTGTGGAGAAAGGGTTGTCAACAGCCCACAATATTGGATGAGTCCTGTGGGCCGAGGAGAAATCTAGGCTAATAAACAACATGAACGTTGTTAATTAACATGCTATGAAATTAACATGGGAAAGTCGAGACCCTCCCAATCTAGAAACACACACAGACTTTCGATGAGCAGAGACTGTCCTCGCTGGGGAGCGGCGTACATGGGCATTTTGGGGAAGTCAGAGCAGGCGGTGTGCTGAAGCCGGAGGGGGCTGGCTGGACCTCCCGCCCCTCCGCCTCGCCCTCCCCACATCGCCCCTCTCCTCAGTCACACTTCGGCATGCGGGCTTCATGCGAGGGATAGCTCTCCGAGCTGCTCCAAGGTGTGGCACAGCGCCCTTGCCCAGTGCTGCGGGTCACGGCCATCCGTGTGCGTCCTGGAGCACCACCGAGCAAGCCACATCACTGTGCACCCTTCCTCCTGCCGTGCCCCCTGTTAAAGTGGAAACTGCGAAGGGTCTGAGGTTTTACCTTTTTGCCACCTCACCAGTTAGCTTGCCACGGAGAATCTTGTTCTCCTGAGTCCTGGGGCATCACCTGTAGCATCCCACGACCCGTCTCCTCTCAGTGATGGAGGGGTTCATAGAGCCTCTCAAATTTTAATGCTCTTGCAGATTGCCCGGGAATCTTGTGAAAATGTGGATTTTGCGTCAGCGGGCCTGGGGTAGGACCTGAGACTCTGCATTTCTTGCAGGCTCCCAGCGGGTGAGGCGCCGCTCGTTCCTGCCACACTTTGAGTGGCGAGATTCCATCCCAATATCTAATGCCAGTAAGTCTGTGAATCGACACAATGTGCAACGTAGACAATGCCATATAGATCATTTACCCTTTGGTTCTCAGTAAGTAATTATAACTTCTTAATTCACCAGCGTATTTTTAAGTACTCCAGAGGGGACGAGGAGGACAGCGTAAGCAAGAACTATCCATAGGGCAAGATTGAGCTTTTTTTTTTTTCATGGCACTTTAATCTATTTTGAAAGTATCTGTCATTCAGCCTGTTGAGTTTACGATTGTGTCGCATCTTAATTGGGCTGTGAGGGATGAGACTGTTTCTGCCATCAAACAAGCAATTTAGCATCGTTCAGAAAGTCTGCCAGCCCAATAATGACAAATACAAGCCACCATTAGACCTGGTGCTTTATAAATATAGTCTTACTTTGTCTTCACACTTTACAGGGAGGTGGCGGACATCATTTTATGGACAAGGACGTCTGCTGAGAAGGGCTAACGACATGCCCAAGGTCGTTCCAATAGGAACGGACAGAAGTAGAATTTGAATCCTAATCTGTCTGATTCCAAAGACTTGCCTCTCTGCTGCCCACTACTTACATTCTGGCAACCAGCCTTCTTTTCGCAAAGGGTCGGAGAGAATTATTGAAAAGAGAGCCTAAAATTCTACTTGGAAGTTTAACATTCGGAGACATATTTTCCACACTCGGATTGGATTACCAGATACCAGTTTCCATCCAAATTCATTTCAGATAAAAGAGTTCCCGTGAGTCCCCTTGTCCCCCCGTTGTCGGCTCGGGCTCTGCAGCTTTGCGAGGCACGGTGTCGGACCGCTGCGGTGGCGCGGGCTTCCACGAGGACATCCCCACCGCCACCGCTCCCCCGGGGCCTGGCCCATGGCAGCCGCTCTCCGGCAAGTCTTCAGAGCTGATGGCAGCAGCCGCAGAGCCAGGAAAATGACTGTTCCCTTGGGAACCACGCGGCCCCGTGCGTGAGAAACACAGGGCACAAAGACGGGGTCCGGTTCAACCTGAGAAGCCATCGATTTCAGATTCCCGAAACCAGCTGCAAAGAAAGGAAATCAGACCAGAAAAGTACAATAAGAGGAAGTTGGCATCCGTGTAAAATCAATGACTCATGGCTACTGAATGCGTTATGACTTTAAGTGGAAAAAAGAACTGATAAGTCTTAAATGGGAAGGGTGTGCCACATGGCACAAAACAAATACTGTTGGAGAATGGAAGAGCCTGTTTTCATTTTGCCAGAGATTCCGAATGTGATTATAGATCAAAATAAACGCAAACCCTTTGCAGCTCTGGCAAGGCTGAGCCTACAGCGTGGGCTTCTATGAGAAAGCCTTTGTCACCTTTGTGGGGCGGAGGGGCGCCTGAGTGGGAGAAACGGGGGGGGAAGAGGCTCCGGGCCACAGCGTCCACTGAACCCCCTCTCTCCTGAGAGGAGGAGGGAATATTACCCCGAGCATCTTCTAGGCCTTTGCACCCACGTGGCTGTCGTCCCTGGATAAGAGGCACTGGAAACGCAGGCCTGGGGGTGCGCACGAGGCCTCCTCCCTCAGAGTCGCTGAGTGAGTCAGCGTCCCTTAGGGAACTAGGAACCAGAAAGGACAAGTGTAGAGTTTGACCCAACTCGGCCTGGGCCTTTTGCCCAGTCGTTTATCTGTTAATCTCTTCGCTTTCTTTCTTATCCCAAAGCACATTCATGACTACAAAATCAAGCAGTCTAGGTACACTTAGTCCCCAAGAGTCAGCCTTCCATTATCTGCTCGAAATGTGCTTAAAGCAGCTCGGCTTGGGAAAGTCCCAAGCGGCGGGGAGGGGCCAGGGTCCCTGAGCCTGGGCTGGTGGCTCCTTCGTGGTCCCAGGTGAGGCACGAACCTTTGGGGCCGTCAGCTCCTCATCTGTAACACTAGATTCGTAGACGAGTCTATTTCTCTTGCGGGACGTTTATGGTGAACACAGCATGAGGAAAAACGAACACCTGCGATCTTTGAAGAGAATTAAAGCACACTTGAATTATTAACAGTCACACATTTACAGAGTTCCCGTCGCGTGGCGGGAACTTCACTAGACGCGAGGAAATGTAAGGGAGCCCTCGGGGATCTTGGGGAGACAGCTCCGTCCTCGCCGAGGCTGTCTGCATTCCTGGGTGGCGGAGCGGTTCCTGGTGGGTAATGATAAGTCATCTCAGAATCAGAAACTCTCAAAGGTGCTGTGCTTGAAAGTTTTTTTCATGTTTTTACTAAAAAATGGTTGCGTGACGTTTTTAGGCTAGCACAAGGCAGTGGACCGCCTGTGCTCTGTGGCTCGTTGGACAGATCTCCAGGTTACGTCCAGGCCTCCGATTTTTTCTGCACCCAAACAACGCACCGTGTGTATTTCGGCGTTTGCTTTACTCCTCTTCCAAATGGACGCCTGGCAAATGCACTCGAGTGACCGTCACACAGTCCCCCTAAGACACAGAGCGAGACGCCGAGTGTCCGTTAGGAGCTCTGTCAACACCGAAGGTGTCACAGCTCAGCATTATAACGAGGATGAAGACGGCGCCGTGTAGTGTGATGGATAGCCAACTCCGACCAAGATTCGTAATGGGGTGGGGGCTTTGTTTCACACCTGTCTTCTGATGCTTGAGTCTCGAGCACTCTCGTCTCTCCTTGTGAAGGGCTGTGTGTTAATTAGTGACTGTAGTGTGCTGTCTTTTTCCTTACTAAAAATGCTCAAGAACGGTTTTGTCTCTTGCCTGGGTATTAATGATCGTTTTTCTATGCGCCTCCATTCCTTACCTGTTATTTCTTCCCAAGGAAAGTGGCCTCGCGTTGGTCTTGTTAAGATGACCTGGAGGATAGTTTCCAAGGTTCCGTAGCCACTGAATTGTGTTCATGAGGCATCAGGGTGAAATAGAAAGATCCAGTGAGAAGACCCGCGTTTGGCCGCCTGTACCATTAGCCAGCCGAGTGACCTTGTGCATGCACACGTGTGTATGGGGGAGGGATGGTTTATAACATTCTAATTTCTTCCATCGGATGGGCTATTGGCTATTAATACAGTACCTTCCCTCTTCTATCAGCTGAAGAGTTTGTTATCGTAAATACTGCTTTAGAGGGACTAAATGTTTAGCACTTTTTTTTTAACTGCTTACTCTTTTTAGAGGACATCGTAATAGCAACAGCATCGTAAACGCGGCAGGTCTGTAAGGCCTATCTGTCTGTATTTCTTTTGCATCGACATTTCATCAAGAGACGTGGCTCTGAAGGATGGCTGTCCCTTCTAATGGCCCGGGCTTTGTGGCTGCAGTGGCCAGAAGCATAAAGACGTGTAAAGAGGATTTTTCGGTACATCGAACACTGAATGTCTTGCCATGCGGCTTCTGTGATTGATATTCAGTTCTTTGGGCGCCTTCCTAGCTGCAGCTCTTAGAAGGTGGTGGAGAATAGTAATTTCAGAAAGAATTGACGCATGAGCGTCAGCCGCTGTGTGGTGGGTGTAAGTAGGGTGTTGCTGTCAGTGGCTAAACATTATCGTTTCCCCCCAGAGGGTGGGTTTTCTTTGGGGGGACCAGTACATCCCGTGGTAGCCGGGCCTGGAGAGTATGGAGGCCAGCAGCCGACACACGTGCGGCAGGGATCATGCTGTGGGAGGGGTGGAGGGAGAGGAGGAAAGGCTTCTTCCTGCCCCCCCCCCCCGCCCATGTCCAGATTCAGGGGAGTTTACCTGGCACAGCCGTGTTCCTGAAAAGTGCATTGTAACTCGCAGCTTCTCTTAACCGAGTTTTGAGGAAATCATTTCAGAGTTTATTCAGCCCCATCGTCTTCCCACTGATGCTCCATCCATGGCGCTCAGTTTCTGCTCCTCCCACATTTCCTACAGTGAGCCACAGCTCTCAGTGGAGGGCGCCAGGAGTGGCGTAGGAATGACGAAAGCAACCTCGGCTGACCCTTGCATCCTCTGCTGGCGACATTAAAAACGGTAGTCATCTCTGCTCAATCCAGACATGCCGTATCATCAAGAAGCAGTTTGTCAGGTCCGATTTGGGATCATCAAATTAACGATACATGTGACAAGCTGACATGTAAAGAAAGTGATAAATACCTCAGCGTGGTCTCCTTATTCGAATTCCATGGTGTGCTTGCGTGGCCGGGGGCACGGATGATGGACGGGGCAGGACCGCTTCCCTTCCCGCAGCAGCCTGCCCTGTTTCTCTCCGGAGCATCAGAAGACTGGCCCCGTTTGCCCAGAAACTTCGGCAACCCGCTCATTCTTAGCGTTTCCCCTTTGCTCCCTCCCAGGTGAGCGCCTGTGAATTGCTTTCGTGGGGCGCTCTTTGCCTAGATGTGGTTCTGCAGCTCTTTCGTAAGCACATTTGCTGGGTCCTCAGGAACTGCCTGTTCAATGGCCCACAAGACAGGCAAACAACGGGGAGTTGCCTGAGTTTCCCAAGGTCAGAATGTGTTGCCGTGGGAACCCACAGCCGAGTCAGGCTTCTGCTCCGTGTCCTGCAGAGCAGGCACAGCCCTTAGGCACAGACAGGCACCTGAGCGTCACCTGGAGATGGTGGGAGCGTTAGCAGTGCAGGAGCTGGAGGTTACCCCGGATGTTACGTAGAGTCATTGCCATGACGTCATGGAGACTCTCGTATTAGATGCAGCAGCAACATCCTTCTGAGTTGCAAACTAGGGACATTAGGCTGTGGTGTCTTTAACCTCTGTGGCATTTGATGGGTTGGGGCCTCCCTCTCTGTCCACTAAAAATAGCAGCTCATCAATCGTCCAGGGAGGTGATCCCCTTCTCTGCGGGGGTGGATGGAAAGTTTACAGCCACATTTGAGGCTGGAATAAAGGAAGCACCTACATGGGAGACCCCTAATCCCCACCAGGAGGTCCTTCAGTCTGTGTGTCTGTGTTTCATTTCCCAAATGCTTTTGAATTTTTCTCCTTTCTATTTTTCCTGATTTCACTTTTCTATACTCATGGTGCAGCTTTTCTTGCCGTAAGAAGTATGAAATTCAGTTATCCAAACGTTAAATTATGATACATTTTTTTCTTTAAAGCTTTAATAACAAGACTTCAGGACAGGCCTAATCACTGCTGTCCCTTTGAAACAGTGATGAGCGGAAACAGTATTTCGAGCTGCCTGCCACAACGCTCAGGTGCTCTGAGTTATGCGTGCTGCTAACACGGTCCTACACAGAATTCCTAAGGAGAGAGAATGCTTAATATTAGTTAGGATCAGTGAAAATAAAGGTGTAGTGTTTGTGCGTTTTCTCCTCGCCTAGGTCATGAGTGCCCTCATTTCTATCTTGGGGCCCCTTGGGTTAAGAACCCTCACCCTTATCTCCTTAGAGCCTCGCGGTATCAAAACACACACGTGTGAACTCGTCTGTCGGTTTTACTCTTGAACCTGCATCACGTCAGACAGCGTTTGAAGCGTCTGGATCCCGGCGTGATTCTCACGGCTCTAAACCCCACGTGCATCTTCAGTGCGCAGAGAACCGCAGCTTAGGGAACGGGATTCGACTGCAGGTCTGCGGCGCCCCCAGCCCTAATCCCCCTTTCCCCGCGGGGCAGACTGGTGAGCGTTCCCCTCCCGTGGTGAGCGTTTCCCCGACCCTCAGCCCTCGGGCCTCTGCCTTGTCCACTCACCAGTCACTAGAGAGCCTGTCGTCTTCGTGCCTTAGTCAGCACCCCAGTGAGGGGTCTGCTCCCCTCTGGAACACGCCGAGGCTGCCGCTGGCTGGAGGGACAGCAGCTTAGGGTGTCCGGCCTCACCTCACCCCGGCAGTAGCGGGGGTGGGGGGGGTGCTAGGAGCCAAGAGTTGGGGGCAGAAACCAGGTTCAGTTCCAGTTTTGTGATCTGGGGCCCATGCGATCGCAGAAACACTTAAATCCTCAGAGCCTGGACTTCTTAGTATAAAACGGGGGTAAGACATAACCCCTCACGGGGTGAACGCAGACCAGCTTTGTACACAGTGAGGCCCGGAGCCTCAGTTTCCCGTCCTGGAGATAGGGCCGTAATATGTTCTTCAGGGGATTTCACGTGATGAAGGCTGGTTAAGGCTTCTGCACAGTGCTTGGCCAGTAGCGGGCACTCAGGGAACACCAGCTGGCTCCGCTCCACCTATGGCCTCGGGACTGAGTTGTTCTAGATGGGCCTGGGAAGGGAAGGGGGATGGGTTTCACATTCAGAGAGAGAGAGGGAGAGAGAGAGGGAGAACGCAGATTAAAATTGTTTCTATGTCTGTCTGAGTCATTGAGAGGGAGAGAGAGAGGGAGAGAGAGAGGGAGAGCGAGAGGGAGAACACAGATTAAAACTTTCTGTGTCTGTCTGAGTCACGTCAGCATGCGGTAGTGTTTTTTCCCTAATTTGCTTCAGAACGGGGAGGTGACTAGACCTAGGGCTGCCCCTGTCCCCATGAGCTCTGTGACCTTAGAACACAGCCTGGTTCTCAGCCTTGATTTCACCTCAGCATCTCCTGGGGTGGGTGAAATGCGGATTGCCAGCCCACCATGAAGTTTTTGGGGTGGCCCCAGAATGCCTGTCCAGCCAGTTCCTGGGTGAACCGAGGCTGCCATGTGGGGACCCCACGTTGAGCCTCCACCCTGAAGAATCCGAGAGAGACATTGATGAATTTCGTTTGGCTCAGACAACCACTCTTCCCTTCTGAAGGCCTCTCCTGGGACGTGTTACAAGTAGCTAAATGTCAGTTTATTTTACATTAGTCACATTTTCAATGCCATTGTGAGACGTGGGAGCCATTTCAAGCCTGCCTCCCCGCATGCCGGTCTTATGAAATACGGTCTGATAAAAGAAGTCCCACGGTCAGAGCAGCCGGGCGAGTGTCCTCCTGTGGTCCCCTCCGGGGAGTTGCTAGTGCACCCTAGCCTGTCACCTGGCCAGCAAGGCCCTGCCTACGACCCCGTGTAACCGGCACTTGCCAGACTCGTTTGCAGCCAACTGCGCGGTGCGGCGGGGGCTTATGGACACGTGGGCGAGAGGTAGACGTGCTGCCTTCCCGAGTATGGAAGTTCTTCAGCCCGTTACCGCTCGCCTCGGTCTTCTCTGGGAGTACCTTCCACATGGGTCCTGTACCCCGGGCAAGTGACACTCGACTGTTGTGGAATCCTGTGAAATGGGACTTTTTTGTCTGCTGTATGCTACCCCACGTAACTGGCCTCGCTTTTTAAAGGAACGCGTGTACATAGGCTGAACGGCAAACCTAAAAGCGCTTAGAAAGTTTAGACTCGGGCAGTAGGACTTTACCGAATTGTCTTCATTCTAGTGAGTGGTAGCGTGATATGCTTTATAAAATCCCAAACTGTAAAATACTTATAAAGGCTGTTACTTTTGTGGCATTACTATGACTCAGGCTTGTCTAATTAGAGTGTTGGCAGTCAAATTCCTCATAGAGACACAATTTAATGCATAAGTAAGAATTACTTGTGTATTATTTTCATCGTAGGGTATTTTGGTTTTCTTCCCAAAAGCTTATTTTCTTAGGGGGTTTTAATATACTTCCTACCATCTTGTTTATGCCGCGTCTCTGTCTGACCTTTCTCTTAATGAACATAAACTTCGAATTAGTGAAATTCAATTAAATGAGGTTTTACACCATTGGAAAAAGTATTTACCTGATAACAGACAGACGCCGCCCTCCAAGTGTCCTTCATGTCTAGTGAGAGGACATTCGATCGTGGTCAGAGCCTCAGCTGCGTGTCGCCAGATCCGTCCT